GCCATCTAGCTGAGAAGCAACAAAGCCCACATGGAAAAAGCTCGCCACTCTGTGTGATCACAAAGTGTTAATGGGATCAGGTGTAAGGCATCAAAGACGCAGAACAAAAAATCATTTCAATGTGAATGAGGAGGAGCATGAATTAGAGACCCAAAGCCCATCTGTAGTCGACTGGACATCCCCCTACAGAAGGGTCACAAGAAAGAGACAAGCCAGTCAGGGTACAGTATAGCACTGACGAAACATACAACTTTCTTCTAGTTCTTTAATGCTTCCCCCCCCCTCTCCCCCCGCACTATAATGATCCCAATTCTACATTACAAATCCGGCTAGACCAGCGCATATACACTGGTACAGATAGGAACTGAAAACACAAGGAATCCAGGACAGATAAACCCTTTAGGACCAATGATGACAGTATTGATACCAGGAGGGGAAGGGGCAGGTGGGGGAAGAAAGAGGGAACCCATCACAATGATCTACATATAACCCCCTTGGGGGGTGGCAAATAACGGAAAAATGGGTGAAGGGAGACAGTGGTCCGTTTAAGACATGAAAAAATATAATAATTTATAAATTATCAAGGGTTTGTGAGAGGGGGATATGAGCTGATACCAAGGGCTCAAGTAGAAAAATGTTTTGAAAATGATGGCAACTTATATACAAATGTGCTTGACATAATGGATGGATGGATTGTGATCAGAGCTGTAGGAGCCCCCAATAAAATGATTTTTTTTAAAAAGAAAAATTCCTTGTTTTCTTTTTTGTGGAACCTTCAGGCAGCATAATCCTAAGTGATATATCCTACAGTGAGAATAATTTATTTTCGCCATAGTTGTTGACCACATTGAGGAGAGCAATGTTCCCATCGGTAAGGAGGTGGTTAACTGCTGTTGAGTTGGGCCTACCTCCTGGCGACCCCAGGCGCAACAGAATGGGACCCTGCCCAGATGGTGTCAATCTTGCGATCCTATTGACTGATTTTCAGAAGTTGAATGCCAGGCCATTCTTCCTTGTCTGTTGTAGTCTGGAGACTTCACCGACACCTGTTTGGTGTCCTAGCAACACCCAAGCCGCCTCTGACAGGTAGGAGGTGGCTGCACATGAGGCATATTGGTCCCGAATGGAACACAGGTAGAAGGGGAGAACTCTACCACTAAACGACCTATTTAACTATGGTGCTAGCTGCCCTTGACTCTGCTCTGACTCGTGCCCACTTCATGTAGAACTGCCCGATGGGTTTTCAGAAGATTGCCAGGCCTGTCCCCGGAAACACCTCTCCGTGAGTCTGAATTGCCAGCCTTTTGACTAGTCGTCAAACATAACCATTTGAGCCATCTAGGAAGCACCTGGTCAGCAGTTCACAACCACCAACTGCTCTACAGGAGAAAGATGAGGCTGTCTATTCCCGTGAAGAGTTGCCATTTGAGGAACCCACAGAGGCAGTTCTACTCTGCGCTGTGGAGTTGCTATGATGAAGAGTTAACTTGAAGGCAGAGGGTTTATTTTTGCGTTATTGAATTGATCCCGACTCAGCGTAAGTGACTGAACTGCCCCACTTGTAACCTCTGTGGGAGCAGTTTGTCGGGTCCTTCTCCTTCGTTGCTGCCAGTGGGTTTGAACCTCTGACTGTTTGGTTAGCATCTTAACCCTTGCAACCGCAGGGCTCCTTTATTAACTCAAACTCCAAATCCACTGCCATCAAATTCTCCTCTGTGGGTTTCCAAGACTGAAACTCTTGACAGGAGTAGAAAGCCTATTCCTTCTCCCAAAGGGGTTGGTGGTTTTGAACAGCTGACCTTTCGCTTAGCAGCCCCATGCATAACCACTGTGCCACCAGGGCTCCTTGTTGTTAGGTGCCCTCGAGTCAGGCTCCCCCTCCCAGTGATCCTATTCTGCACAGCAGAACGAAACACAACTGTTGTGTTTGCGTCTGGTGCTGACAATGATTAATTTTTATCAAGGAACTTTAAGTGCTGCGTAACTATTCGGGCATTGCTCTGGTGTTTTCAAGGGATGAGCACCTTCCTCCGCAGAGTTAAAGACAGGCCAAACTCCAGAAAATCAAATTCCCCGCCATGGAGTTGAAGCTGACCGATAGCCACCCGGCAGGACAGGGTAGACCTGCCCCGGTGAGTTTCCAAGACTAACTGTTGACGGGAGTAGAAAGCCTGTCTTTCCTCCTTGGAGCAGCTGTTGGTTTTAAACTGCTGACCTCGGAAGATTTTTAAAAAAGGAAAACAGAAAAGTGGAAACGGGAGGAAGAATTGATGGGAGGGGAGGATGGGGAGTGAGTTCTCTGTGCGATGATGCCCGCCGATCTAATGAGCCTTTTCTTCCGAGGCTGAGAGAGGAGTGCTTTCCGCGTTGTCACAAAGCGTTGCTCTCCCGTGCGGTCTGCCTCTGCAGGGACCTTGTGAACACCTCGTTCCTTATGGGTCAACGGCCCGTGTTCCAACTGCTGTCTATCAAAAGGTCTCAAAGTCACACTGGCACCCCACTATTGCCCAGTCCGTCACCCAGCCGGGCCCTGAATGACTCCTCAAATAGAAAGCTCAGCAGTAAGTTTTGCTTTTTTTTTTAAATCATTTTATTGGGGGCTCATACAGTTCTTATCACAATCCATACATACACCCATTCTCTCAAGCACATGTGTACATTTGTTAAGTTTTGCTTTTTTGTCTTTCAATGGTTAGTGCATCATTTTTGGTTTAGCACCTGTAAAAGCGTGAAACTACATTTAGTAGTCTTGCCTGTGGTCAAAGAGGCTTTACCTATTTTTCATTTCCTGGAGAATGGAAAGCACCAAATAGCACGTTTGTCTACAGTGGCGCTGTGTCATATTCAAGACGCACTAGACCTTTGACCTTAAAGGGGTGGGCTTTTGAGATTCCGTAGCTCCACCACTGAACAAATTCCACCACACCGTGCTGTGTGCATGGACTTTCATTTCTTCTCTGTCTCCACCTACTAGAATGTAAACTTCCAAGCGGGACTTTGTTTTGTTTAAGTCTGTATCCCGATGTCTAAGCCACTGTCCACCAGTGGGAGGTGTAATGGCTCTTCATTGAAGGGTTCAGTGAATGGACATGGACTCAATGAATGATGTGATGAGTACAGGCAGGCCCCCGGGCTACGAACAAGTCCAGTCCCTAGTGAGTCTTTAAATAAAATTCGTAGTTAAGTCAGGACAAGGGCCACCGTTCTTGTTTAGCCTTCAGTGCCGGCAGAGGCATGCACCCTTTTCCACGAGTTTTCCCCTCTTTTTTCCTCTTTTTTCTTCTTTTTTCCCCTCCCTCTCCCACCCTCGTGAATTCTCGATCAATTATATATTGTTGTTATTCCATGTCTTACACTGTCCGTTGTCTCCCTTCACCCACATTTCTGTTCGTCCCCCTGGGGGTGAGCTATATATCCAACCTTGTGATGGGTTTCCCCTTTCCTCCCCCTCCCCTCCCGACCCTCACCCCCAATCTTCATGATTTCGCTTTTCCCACTACTGTTCCTGAGGGTTTTATCTGTCCTGAATTCCATGTGTCAAAAGCTCTTATCTATACCAATGTGCATACTCCTGTCTAGCTGGATTTGTAAGGTAGAGCTGGGTCATGGTGCAAGGTCAGGGTGGGGGGACGCAGAGAGGAAGCATTCAGGAACTAGAGGAATGATGTGTGTTTCATTGGTGCTATACTGCACCCTGGTTGAATCGTCCCTTCCTTGTAACCCTTCTGTGGGGGGATGTCCAGTTGTCTACAGATGGGCTTTGATTCCACACTCCAACCCTCCTCTTTCACATCAATATAATTGTTTTAGATTTTTTGTTACCTGATACCTGATCCTGTCAACACCTCATGATCATACAGGCTGGTGTGCTTCTTCCATGTGAGCTTTGCTGCTTCCCTGCTAGATGGCTGCTTGTTTAACCTCAAGCCTTTAAAACCCCAAAGGCTATATCTTTTGATAACTAGGCACCATCCACTTTCTTCACTACATTTGCTTATGCATTCATTTAGTCTTCAGTGATCGTATCGGGAAGATGAGTGTCAAAGAGTGGCAGGTTATTAGAACAAAGTATTCTTGTGTTTAGGGAGGCCTTGAGTAGAGGCCCAAAGTCCATCTGCTATCTTAATAATTAACATATAAATATATGGACATTGGCCTCGATCCCTTTCATTATAAATTAATATATTTACATATATGCATGCCAATAGCTATATCTCCATAAATAGCTTTTGCTTCCTACTTTTTCCCTCTATTTCCTGCCTCCTGTCCCACTATCATACATACCTGCCTCCTGACCCACTATCATACTCACCTTCCACTGGACTCTAAGCAATTCCTCATATATACATCGCACTTGATCAAATCCCACCAGGCCTCCTCACCATCATTTTAGGATCTCGTTATTCCTTTATCCCTGAGTTTGGTGGCTCCCCGTTCTCCCTCCCCACCTGAGACTGTAAATCTTCACTGAGCGGACAGCCTCATCTTTCTCTCGCAGAACAGCTGATGGGTTTGTATCACCGACCTCTTGGTTAGCAGCCCATTGCTTAGCCTGCTGTGCCACCAGGCAGCTTCAAATGTTTTGAAGTATGCAAAACATTCAAGGCCAAGGAGTTAGTTGTCCCATAAGTAGTTTGTGAATTGAATGTTTACTTTTCTAATATTAAACTTATTACTACTGATTTAAATGGCACCTTTCTTTCAAAGCACGCACAGAAACAGGTGTTCATGTATGTTTCAATAAGAAATATATTAAAATTGGCATGGGAAAATGTAATAACCAAAAAAAAATGTGTCATCTGACTCCCAATCAATGCCCTTCCTAATAGGGAGCAGTGGCTTTAGAATGTGGGATCTTGGGATATCTTCCTGTGTGTCTTTAGCATCTATTAATGTATAACCTAAAAACTGAAAAGCATGCGTATCTTAAGACAGTGTCGTGAATATTTACAAAGTGGTGTATTTTGGCGAAGCAGTCAGCACCAAAACCTAAAGGCAACATTAGCTACACCCTCCAGAGACCACCACCGCCTAATTTCTAGCATTACAGATTTTGCCCCTTTGATTCAGTACGATGTTTTCGAGAGTCCTCTGTGTCTGTGTGCAGCTGCACGTTGCCCGTTCTCATGGCTGTGTGTATGCTGTTGTGGGAATATATCCCAGTTAATGTATCCAGTCTGTGATAGCCGTTGGGTAGCTTCCACTTGGAGCTGTTGGCAACAGTACCATCGTGCTCCATGTTGGTTTCCCCGTACTTGAGAACCTCTGGAAGTTGGCCTGCTTGTGTAGTTTTTCTATGCATCTCTTAGTGTCCTTTGGGTGAAATAAAATTGTATTTGGCATTGAGTTCAGAAGTCTCAGCTCTTCCATAAAGCATGCGATGTGCCACGTGCCATTGGTCAAGGGTGTTGGAAGCTACTAGGGAACATGAATCTTGACCGCCCCAGCGATCACCCACCTTTGCCCCATAGAGATGAGAAGAATCAGCCCTGCAGAGTGGCAGCCGTCTTGTCAGGGGGAGTTAGGCCCAAGGTTGCCTTACCATTAGGTTGATTCACAGCAGCAGCTACAGAAATCCAAACGCCTCCTCAGTGGCCTCTGCCAAGCAGTCTGATATTTCCCCACTCCTCCTGAAAATAACTCACCTCTCCCTTTCATGTTTGTCCAGGAAGCACCGCGGCCTGGGCTGCTGCCATGATTCCTGGGTTGCTGCAGGGCTCCATCGGCGCCATCTGCTCTCGGGCTGCCTCGTCGAGAGTAACCCCTCAGTCCGTGCGCCACCTCTCTCTAACCAGGTGAGGCACCTGCCTCCAGGGTCACGTGAAGTTGGCTCTCAGAGGGACTTGGCCCGCTGGTAATCACGGGAGGCGAACCAAAGCCCTGACGGTGCTCAGGCCTTGGCGGAAACTTTCACACATGCTGTTGGTAGAGCGCTACGCTGCAGATGGGCACATCTTACTTTCCCCGGGTCCTACACTCTACTGTAGAGTCGTGTCGTGAGCCAGACATGACTTGGTGGCAGTGATGAGTGTGTTTGGGAGAGTTCACTCCCGTGATGATTAGTCTCCAAACACCCCCCCAAGCCCCACCCCCCAGGGGAGCAGCTCTACCCTGCCCCCGTAGGGTCGGTCACTGTGAGTCAGCATCGACTCGATGGCAGTGAGAGTTATATCGTTGTGGCTAGTCATAGTATTATTATTCTTTTTATGAGGATAATACTTAGTAACCTAATTTTACTTTCTGTTAAAGCGTAATGAAATCCAAAAAGAAAACTGATCACTTGGAGAGAACTGCAAGTTTCGTTCGCCGGGAGGTTTGTATCTGTGGGCTCTGGCCGGGTCTGTCTGGACAGCTTGCACGCAGTGTGGCTGGCTCCCGGACATGGTGGTACATGAGACAGAAGAGGCTGGTTTTCTGAGCAGAATAGATGGTGACAGACTTGTAAAGATGGCAAAGACCTGTTCACATTTCCCCCACCTCCAGACAGATCCATTCATTGTTTTTTGCCACCTCAGCGCTGTCAACATGTGCAATTCAACAACACTAGTTACATGAACTATGTTGCATGAGAATCACCAGTGTTGAGTGGATTAATCTTTGATGAAGGGTGTGTTGCAGCAATCAGGGACTCATCTCCACAGACTGATGTTTAGGGAGAGGGAGAGAAGTCCTTTTCTTTTTGCTTATTTGTTTACTCTTCGGATGGAGTATCCCAGTCTTAGTTCTCATTCTGACCCCAGAATACTTTCTTATGTCATCCGAGGAGGGGAGCACTGCTGTCTGAGAGGTCGGTAGGTGAGCGCTCTCTCGCCACCCTTCTCAAGGACGACAGCACTTTCCGACCACGTTGAGATCACTTGGAGCTGATCTACATTGCGGGGCTGCAGGGGGGTGGGGGTCAGGAACTGGGCAGCCAAGGAACCCACCCTTTCTCTCAGCCAGAAACAACATTTCCACTTGAAAACAGAAGTTGGGCATTTGCCCTTTGCCCTGTTGAGGGTTTTTCATGTATTGGCATATGTTTAATGATTGTGAGTGAATCTAAATGGACAATTTTGAAAGCCACATTTTACATTAAAACTCTATATAAGGGCTGTACACAGCTACAGCCATCGTGAGCAACGGTCCTTTGGCTGTGGTTCAATGTTTCGTTTTCATAGAAGGCTGCACTTGCATGTAAAGGCTTATTGTTTTAGGTCCCACTTTCCAAGCTAATTCTGCATTCAGAAATTGCTCTGGGACCCGGAGTGGTACGTTTGTTGATTCAGCCTCAAGTCAGTGTTTTCCTGAGAAGCCTGGGTAAAATTAGTTCAGCACAGTAGATTTATGGCTGTGTGGGAAAATGCACTTTTCCCACTGAAGATAAATCTGAAAATACGGTTTTTCCGCTTGCTTGTTTTGCTCGACACACAAAAAAAGGCTGATTCTGTAAGTGGGAGAAGTATCAGGATTTCTTTTTAAAAAGTAAACACATTTTCAGTTGTTAAGAAAAAGTGATTTATTTAGCAGGCTTGGATAATACTATTTCCTGTTTTATTATGAGGTGGACTGAATTCAAGCAGGGGAAGGCAGACACTGTCAGAGGCCAAACGGTAAATACTGTATATACTCGTGTAGAAGCTGAGTTTTTCAGCGTATTTTTAATGCAGTTTTGTGGTAAAATTAGGTGCCTTGTCTGATATTCGGGTCGGCTTATACTCGAGTACATATGTTAAGTGCTCAGCTGGCCACGTGGGTTTGGTTGGTACTTCCACCCTTGGCCCCATTGTGCGGAAGCAGCCACAGATAGTGTGTAGTGTGCACAATCAGTGTAGCTAGGTCCCACTAAACTGTATGTCCCCAAACACCCGGATTTGGCATGCAGGCTGCAGTTCGCCAATCGCTGAATTACCATAGTCAACTTGGGATTTTAAGAAAACAATTACTGGGATTTCGGCGGATTATTTTGAACCAAGTTTAATTGAAAACTACAAAGAAAGTTGAAGTAAGCACTAATAATTGAACAGTTTAGTGCCCAGAAATCAGAAAATTACAAGGTTAGAATTCTGATCATGATAGTTCATTCGAGGAAGATTTCGGGTTGTAACACTTTTACTTCCATTATTAATTTCCACGCTTCCCCCAAACAGAATGGGATGGAAAGAAAGCTAGATAGACCACCTTCTATGTGATGTGGGAGGCCACCATCTCTATTGTACAAGGTCACCTCAGGCTTCACCCCAAGTCAGCAGAGGACTGCTCTAAACCGTAGAGCCGGGGCCCACCCTTGAACTGTTCAACCAGATGGCATCTCAGCCTCACTGTTAGAGAATGACACCAGGCTCTGATAGTGTGGCCTTCTTGCCTGTCATTGGTATGGCCAGTGTACTTCTTTCAGAAAGTTCTTACTGTTGTGAATATATGCAATAAAACATGCACCAGTTCAGCCGTTTCTACATATACCGTCACTGACACTGATAACATTCTTTGAGTTGTGCAATCTGACACACACACACACACACCCCTCTTTGTGAGTTGTCCCTTCCCCGTTAACATAAACTCCCCACTCCAAAGATTCTGATCAAGTTTTTAAGTTACTGTTATCAGTGTGGTCCAATAGAGAGCTCCGTGCTCTGGGCAGACATTCTTTACAAGTTCAGCTCAAGTATTATTTGGTTTTAAGAAAAACCTGGGGGTTATTTTTGGTCTAAAGATTATTTCAGGGCAATCATTTCAGGGGTTCATCCAGCCTCCAGGGCTATTTAAAAATCTGGATTTCAGGAGAATTTGAAATTCTCTTTTATAAAGAATATACTTTACAAACCCCTCACATCTCCTGGGCTGTCCAAGTCTGGGAGGTAGACTAAAAATAGATTGCTGCCTGCATTTCCCAGATGAGGGCAGGGAGTCCAGGAGATGCCCCGTGGCCACGTCTGGTTTCTAGGCCAGACCCCCTGCTGACCCCGGCTGGAGTGGGTGTGAGAACCGGGGTACTCACTCACTCACCCACAACTGCCCTTTCTGCATTGGACATTGTGTTTCCTCTGGAGAACTTTGTGGGCTTTATGATGCGAATGTGTTTTTCTTCCACCTCTAAATGTAGCCAGGCTGAGGTCATGCTGATGCAGGAAGCGGACCTCCGCAGTGAATGACATTTGACTGTGTTCACGCGCACAGTGCTCTCCTAAGGACCGGTGACTGAGTAGCCTTAGAAATGTCAGGGAGATAAGGGTAGGCGCACTGTGATACGGTGGGGATTGTTGAGGCAAGACTAACATTTTTCGGACGGGGTCACTCCCTGCTTCGCCCTTTGTAGAGCTTTGGCCCACTGAGCACAGTGGATTCTCTTCAGCACTTTGGTGAGAGTTTGGCAATAAAGGAGTTTTTTTAAAGATGGGCTCATGAATGGTTCATTTATTCGAGTAGAAACTTGCTGAGCTCTGGGCTAGGCCCTGGGACTCGCCATAGAAAATAACCGATGAGGTCTTTGCCCTCAGATTCTAGTGGGGCTCTGATCACAAGAAATGGTTTTTCTGCCCACATGTGATTTTGGAAAAACCGGTGATTCTTTTAAGTTGTATTCTTGCTCTTCTTTTAAAGCCCATCCCCTAGCCCACAAATGCCTTTCTGTTTTCAAAGCGCTTGAAAAACAACAGATTGTTACCTGAGTCTCAATCATCCAAGGAGGTTGCTGGAGGGATCCTTTCTAAGATGAAGAAATTAAGACTCTTAAGATTTCAGTACTGTCACTGCTTCCTGATTTGCCTAAACTAGTCCTGGCTTTTACCTCTTTTCTTGGATGATTTTCAGTAGAGCTTTCATGCTCACAGTTGCCCTGTTTGGGAGGGTAAGTTATATTGTAAATAATATTGTCAGCCTAAGCGTAAAGGACTGGTTCAATTTAAGTGGATGATTCAGCTCTTAAACTCAGCTCTTTGATTTTCAAATTTGGATGTCAGTACAGCAGCAACACCTGATCTACCCTGTTTCCTGAAAGGAAGACATCCCCCGAAAATAAGACCTACTTAGTTTTGCCTCTCACTGAAATATAAGGCACCCCCGAAAATAAGGCCCCCTGAATCTACCATAACTCCGGACCATAGCGGCAGGTGCCGCTGCGCAGCTCACTGTTGGCCACAGCTCCGCCCGTGCAGACAGGAAGTGCGAGGTCTCTTTTAATAAAACAATAAATGTGTACCGTATTCTTCTTCATGGAAAAATAAGATACCCCTGAAAATAAGACCTAGCGCATCTTTGGGAGCAAAAATTAATATAAGACACTGTCGTATTTTCGGGGAAACAGGGTAGACAGTTAAGGCTTAACACAAGGAAGGGCTGTTTAATATGTCCTCTTTGTTCCAAAGCAAAACTGCACTTAAACATTGCAGGCAGAAGAAAGGGGGGTTGCTGGTGACACTAGTAAGTTGTGGTTGTGGTTGTTGGGTGCCGTCCAGTCAGTGCTGATTCCCAGCGACCCTCAGCACAGCACAGCAGATGGAAACACTGCCAGGTCCTGCACAATCCCCACAACACTCTTCTATTTGAGCTCACTGCTGCAGCCCCTTTGCCAACCCCTTTCGTCAAGTTACCGTACATACTCATGTATAAGCCGACTTTTTCAGCATACTTTTTATGCAGTTTTTGTGGTAAAATTAGGTGCCTCGGCTGATTTTCGGGTCAGCTTATACCCGAGTATATACAGTAGTTCATAAACTCAGAGGCTGGGCTTCTTGGCCAGAACCTGTGAGAATCTGGCCATCCCTACTGCAGGTTATCAAGGGCTGGCAATCTGCCTGGCTTGTGGCTTTGCTGAGGCTTGGATGTGAGTGGATGGCTACTGCTACAGCTAGAGAACTGGACCCCGTCCTGGGCCCCTCACTCATGATTCCCTGCCAGGTATCACCTTGTGGAGAGATGATAGGCTCTTGTGGCCTTCACCTTGCCGGTGGGGCAGGCATCTCTTTAACACGGGCCATTTCCCAGCAGTCGTGCCCCTAAATGTGCTTTGGTGATGTAAACCTGATGCTCAGAGAACTTTTTCACCAGCCAGGACTTTCCAACCTCACCACACTGTCAGCGCTGACTAAGCAGGGGGCTGTGGGGAGAATCTTCCGGCACCCACAGTCAACAGATAGCTGCAGGGGCCTGGGCGACAGCCTCTTGGAGAAGCTTCAGTGAAGATGTCCGATGGTCCTCAGCAAGGACAACGGACCCTGCCCGGTGAAGCCTTCAAGAGGAGGCCTCCGAGGGGAAAACATAGCCAGCAGCTTCGTAGCCAGGGCAACTAGCACAGCACCACGACTCCACGGGCGCTCACAGCCTGGTTCACAAGTC